GACAAGGGGGAAAACGGTGAAAAAGAAGTGTTGGTTATAGGTGAAGTCCAACAGCTGAACGCTGCAGCGTGGAAAGGGGGTGTTTTTCACCAAGTCACGCATTTAACTTTTGAGAAAAGCCCCTTCAAGAGGGGACACCAGAAAACATTGCATGAAGGTTGTATGGAGGCTAGATGTGCTGTAAAGAGCTGAACAGAAACACTATAGTGAGACTTTGAAAAGAGAATCTGATTTTACGCAAGGTCATGGTGAAATCAATTCTTCCCCGGAAAAAAATTGTCGTCAATTTGCAAATTGGGTTCCGTCACTGACCTGTAGGGGATGTTTTAGCCCAAATGAGGTTAACACTTGACGGAAGCACCGCTCCGAGGCTCCGAGCAGCGTGGGCAGCCCCTCCGCAGCAGCTGGGCCCTTGGATGGGTAACTAGACTAAAATTGTCTTGCAGACAAAACACCATCCGCTGCAGGCAGAAGAGGCCTCCATCCTTTCTGTTCATTTGGAAGGTTGGTCAAGCCTAAGAGAGACAAAACCCCAACCCAGTTCCAGTTGGGTCAGGAAGGGATTGCACCAGCTCCATCTTGCAGAAGGAAATCGGCGCTCTCTAGCAGTAATCAGTTCCACATTTGTGAAGCCTTCCAACAAGACACTTTTTGTCTATGATTTATATTTGTCTTAGGACACACTCATTTCAGATCCTCTGTGGATTGTAATGTATAAACAGCCCCTTCATTTTTAAAGGCAACTAAGAAACTGTTTGGCAGGGTCACCACAGCTCTGAATCTCGGGCAAAGTCTATCAAGTGCATGGGTGTCCAGGCTGCAAAGCAAGCAAGACAACACAGGACACTGGAAGACAACTGTGTTTGTTCAGTTTTGCTAAGAATAGGACATTAGTAAGAAATATTTTAATCTAAGAAACATCATTTTTTAAAGGGGAAAACGCTTTAAGCTTTTTTTTTTTTTTTTTTTGGTCAATTTGATAGGCATGTGATGATCTCATGGCATGGAAGTAGGAGACTCAAGCAAAAAAGTTGGGAATTTCCTATAAAAATCTCACCACCTTTTTATGCAACAAGATGCATTTTCCTACTGTGTGCCTCTCAAACTTTATTCCCATTGGAGAGTTTAATTCCATGATCAGTGCTGAAAAGGCTGTGGGAAATAAAACCTGAAACACCCTCAGAGGATGAACTGTGTCCATGGAAGCTTGTTATTCACTAACTACAGCGTTTCGGGAGCAGGATGTTGCTGAGTTCTGATCTCCCTCAGAGACTGGTTCCTCCTCTGCCTCCCCCTGGATGCTGGGGGTACTTTGCCTTCTCTGGAGGACTTTACTCTCAGATGCTAAAAAAACAGGACTGCCACACGTCCACTTTTCTCACCAGGCCACTGCCTAATTTCAAAGAAGATTCATGTGGACGTAGTGTTGAAGAGAACATTTTGGGGGAATTTGTGGAGAAAAATGGCTAGATGTGTGTCCTCCAGCAGCTTCCCGAGCTCTGCGGCTCCCTGCCAGCGGCCGATCCACACATTCCTGCAGCTCAGCTCCTCGTTAAAAGCTTGAGGAAGGAGCTGCCACCACTGGGAATGTGGCGGGTCAGGAGACGCGCGAGGAAGGGACATACCAAGGAGAGAGGTCACTTCTACCGCGTGGTGTGGGAACCAGGAGAGAAACGCAGGCCAAACTCACGTGCGTGGGCTGCAGGGCTCCTGGGGGTCACCGTCCTCCGGGATGGGAATTCCGCCCTGTGCCAGGGCTTCCAGGCGTCTTCCCAGGCTCCGCAGGGCACGGACGCGTCGGAGCCGCCCCGCGAGGCCGGAGGGCACCCGGGCACACGCTGCCTGCCGTGGGTCACGAGCACGAGGAGAGGCACCAGCTCCCGGGGCCCGTTCTGCTCCAGGCTCTCCTGTGAGGCTGCAGGAAACACCCCGTCCGGCTGGGTGTGAGCAGGAGCAGAACTACACCGTGACAACCAACACCAGGCTGATGTCCACCGAGCCTTAATGCACAAACATCCTCGATTCTTCAGTTTTACAGGAACAAATATTGAAAGTACTAAGAGCTGTGCAGGAGTGCAAAGGGATAAGCTGCAGGACTGCAACACAAAGCACATGGCTTTACACTCCCTCTGCATTGGCGCATATCTGGGCCAGGTTTCACGACCAGCATCTGATCACTGGGCTCTGCAAAGGAAGCTCTTGAATTTCAGTGCAGTTCCCAGTGGGCAGGTTCCACACCACAAACAAAATCCCACTATTATACAACTGACATTAACTGGATCGTTTCTAAACTCCTCAGAAGAGAGGCCAAGGCTCCAACTTCATGGCAAGAGAACTGGCTGTTCTGCGAACTCCTCCAAAGAGGCCCATGGATGCAATGCTGCAGAGCCCTATGTGGCATCTCAGAAATACAGAAGGTTGCAGATTCTGAAACTTGTGCAGTCCTCAACTTTCACCAACATTCAAATTCACCTACATTAAAAGAAAATTAAATTGTCCTCCCCCACAAAAAGAAAACCACAACAAAGCAAACATCCTCAAGCAAACTATTTGCTTGAATCCATTAAAACTTGCCAAGTCAACGTTCCAGTCTCAACTGCCTGGCCCAGCCTGCCAACTACAGAAGTGTCAGTTTTTTGCTCTTCTATTTTACACTAACAAAAGCCAATTGTGGCGATGAATTGCATCACATGCCAACAATATATCACATTCCTTCACAGCTGCTTTTTGTAAAGGGAAGGAGAAGACTTCATCTGTCACTGACAACACTTGTAGAAACCATAAACATTTTCAGAAATCCAAGTCGGGATGGTAAACTACCACACAAAGGCTTTCCTGAAGAAGTGGCACAGCACCAACCAACAACTCCAGATAAAAACACCACGTGGATATGAAGAATCGGGACAAGCTGTTACCATGTGAGCAAACTTGGATTTTACCTAATATTTTCAAAAACAAGGAAGCAACATTGTGTATGATGTTGTCTCATGTTCTTTAGCAAAAAAAAAAAAAAAAAACTAAATCAAAATCATTAAGTTAATACCCCTTAAAATCTATAACTCATCTAAATAAAAGAAAAATTCTTTCCTACAAAACACTAATAGGAATGTAACACATGTCAAAACAGAATTACATTGCAAACAAAGGGACTGCCACTGTGTCTTTTAGTGCAGTAATTTCACTCTCTATAACTAACAAATAATAAAAAGTAATAGCAGAGAAAAGAAATACAAGACGGAGAACAAAACTGATTACTAGACATGGACATACAATGTGGCTGAATGCTTCCTGCAAGCTCACGTAAACCTCAACCAGTTTGATGGGATGTACAGATGTACTCACATCTTTGCAAAACCAAAATGCTTACCAGCACATAAAATCCACAAACCTTTTTTTTTAAAATTATACTTATCAAAATAAAATGAAACTGTTCAGATTTTATAACACATTTGAACCATAAAGACCACCTATGCAGCATTTGAATTTCCAGTTATCTATTGCCAAAGGGGGACACTTTTAAAAATAAATTATGAGGATAATTAATCATTTTCACACACACACGAATTACAATGTAACATCAGGCAGTGGTTTTTAAACTTTTTAATGCCTTTTTTTTTTTTGCACTTCCATTTTGGTTAGTTTGAACCACAGTTATAAAAGCAATTTTAATTTAAAAAGAAGAAAGGAAGGTGGAAGACTTGTAGCCTCCTCTCTGATCACGTCACGCAGATATTAGTGGATTCAGCTACCACTGTGCCACAGAATCATTGCAATGCAACACTAACACTTTATAAATATTCCTGTGTTGGAAAAACTCTAATAAAAAGCCCCCCCAAAAGCCCATGATAATAGATGGCGACTAAAATTAGGAAGTTGTCACGGTTTAGTACTGGCAAAATGAACATCCATATATCTCTTCAGCTTAATATGCAGTGTTATGGTGACATGACATCCTCGAATTTTATTTAAATCAGAGTCACGGGGATAATATGCATCAATATAGAAGCAAAGTCCATCCTATAGCAAAACATATTGTACTTTGCATGTTTGTATAAGAAGAAATAAAGTCAAACATTTGTTGGCTGTTAAGAGTTTTATGTCAGAAAAGAGGACGATTCCACAGCTGTTGGGAAGCATCCCCCCCAGCTGCCTGCAGAAGGGCAGGAACGTCCCAAGAAGCCAACCTGGAACCTTGCAGGTTCCCCCATCAGCTGCCCATGGGCTTCTGCTCGTGTGAAACTCACCCCGAATCATTTCTCCTCAAAAAGCCAGTTCCAATCCGCCTGCCACTGCTTTGTGTCGAGACACGGTTTTCTCCCCACTCCCGTGTAAGTGCTCAGATTCTTCATTTAAGCTGAAAAGCCTCAATTTAGGTCAGAGTGGCAAATTCCTCCCCAGAGATGTACACAGAACTTCCCTGTTTCTGCACAAGAGGAAGGATGCTCACCCTGCTCCTCCACTCTGTTATGAGCCTCTGACAAAAGAAGGGGAACCTCAGATCTGATATTTGAAACCTTAAACAAACGCCACTAGCAACAAATCTCTAAGTCTTTTGGGGAAAAAAAATACTCATGCGATTACACATCTATATTATATATAATGATTTGCAAGTCTACATCTTGTTATTAAAGGCACCCTACAATAAAATGTGCAACAAGAATATTTTACAAATATTTTCAAGATAGTTATGCTTTCATATATTCCATCAAAATGTACATTACGTGAAAATTACTTTAAAAACAGAACATTTAAGAATGTATACCCGTTCTGTTGGGAGCCCAGATAGCTAGCAAAACAAACAAAATGTTATTGCTCTTCTTACTATTGAAAAAGTTTAGATTTCTGGACTATTATAACAAAAACTGCAACAAGCATCAATAGGAGGGAACATTAGACAGAACCTCCTACCCTCTCTCCCCATTACTGAGGAACAAGAATGATGAAAAAAGTATTTTGTGTAAATAATCTCTCATTTTAAAATGAGGTCTGTTGACAGAACATGGATTTTGGTCTTCTATTTTATATTTAATAGAAGTTGCAACTAACACAAGTTCATTAGTTATTCCCAGGTTTATAAACAACTTGCAGACTGAATAATTCTAGATAACATCAGATTGCAACAAATGTTCTGTATCAGAGTTGTACAGAAAAAAGCCTTAGGGAAGGAAAGTGGTAATGAATGCTACAATCAGGCACATCATTGTTTCAGAAATAGTATGCTGTGTGAGTAACCCAATTGGAACACTCTTCCTTTGAGCGTTTTGCTGAGCTGTGTGTTGTAAAAATAGATTTGTACGCCTCAGATTTCTCCTCACTGTCTGCAATGGATCTCTTCGTGGAACTGGAAGAGCCTTTATTGGCTTTTGCTGGCACAGATGAACTTCCATTATCTGTTAGAGAAAAAACAATTAAATGAAATGCATAACAACCCACAATTGACGGCAGTATTTAAAACTGATGAAGTATTTAAAAAATGTGTACAGAAATGAAGAATCAAAATGTGTTCAAGACTGACTCTCACAAACATATCTCATAATTGAGCTAAAAAGAAAACGTGGTCCTGGCTTAAGGAATTTATTCTTAAAATGCGTTTAGAAAACTTGGAGGGAGGGGATTTTTTTCCTGCTTGTGGAAATTCCTTGCACTGTAATTCAGTTCTGACAATATTTATTCCTCTATGTGAGAAACGGCTCTGAGCCTGGTCTTAAGAAAGAAACATGAAAGTTTTCCACCACCCTGTACTATTGTTTGAAAACGAGCTATCAAATGACAAAAGCTAAACTTGTGACATAGTATCCCCAGGGAATTCTTCATTCTCCCCCCTTCATTCTTTGCAGAGTCATAAGCATTAACAATGGACTGCATCATTTCATATTTGTGACAGGAAAATGCCCAGCCCACTGTTCCTGATGCTGTTTCTCTTGGTGTTTTTAATCTATTGCTATAGAAAACTCTGTTTCTTAACTGCTATTTAACCTCTCCCAAAGCACAAGGACAGTATTTTAAAAAGTGCATACCATGTCTCCTGAGCAAAGAGAGCAGAAACTCTATGCATTTAGTATAATTTGGGCACAACTTCATGGAAACAACTAGCAGGAGAGCTTTTCTGAAAACACATTTAACTGATTTGTGCATGCAGGCAAGGGAATTACATGTATAATTGTAAATAGACATGGATTAGAACTTTTTATCTTTGGAGAATGCTGCTCCTAATGCCACTAATAGCTGTCTGGAAAGAATTAGCAAACACTGGATTAGAAAGAATGAATCTGCACGCTGGAAGTCCAGAAACCTTAGGGTGCCATGTTCACAAATTAATTCCTATGCTACTGGCATTCCACTGCCCATCTCCTCCCTACTCCATGGATTTTTCTCCATTTCCCCTCTTTCTCCCTGTTCTCGTGCCAGTTTAGCAATGCAACTGCTGTCAGAACCATAAACCAATGCCTTGACATTGCAAAAGGGATATTTCTTTCCCTTCATGTAACACTGTCAGGTATTATTAGAATTATTATGTTTCTAAACATCTATAAGCAATTATAATAATCTGGAATTAAATATTCTTTTAAAGTCTGTCCTTAATAAAAATAAAAAAGCGACAGTAGGTGACAGGTAAGACATTTCTAAAGGAAATTAGCTTCTCAGATATTTTATCTGAAACTCATCATTTAATTAATGCCTTTTTTTTAAATTAAGCTATATAGTCTTTTTCTGTGCTTGTAACACATAATTGCAGACCCATACATATTCCATGTTACCTAAAGAGATGGCACTGACCATTGGAATAAAGGACAAACAAGATTAATCACAGCTATGTGACAACTGTAGATGCAGCAGGATATCCTCCAGGTATAGTCCACTGCTAACAATGATACACAGTAGATTAGTAGCAAATTACGGCACCGTAACACAATTTTGGGCATAAGAAAGGGAGTGGTAGGGTAACTTCTCCAAATACGGGTATAAAATAGACAGAAAAGGATCTCTCCTAAATTACTCTTCAAGCAGAACCATTTGTTACACCAACCTGTACTCTTGGTGAATATAATCTGCCTCTTTTCTTTAGAAGTGGCACTGGTGGAATCTTTTCCGTTCTTAACCTTTGAAGGACCTGCAGAATCTAGGAAAGAAAAAAGTGAAATCAAAAATCTGTTTAATGACGCAGAAGAGTGTATATCATTTGCAGCTACGAAATTACCTTCAGAAGTACCTTGCTGAGAAGCTGATTCTGCTGACTTGCATCTTTGATTTCTGAAAAAAAAAAAAAAACAGAAATGTAAATAATATACGGAAAAAATATACAATAGGCTACTTTTTTAATGCAGTGGAACTGTTCCATCCATAATAATGCTCCACACTTCTGAAATTATTTCCATGTGGAAAGATAATAATCTTAAAAACCATGAAGGCACTTTATGGGTAAGTGCAGAGGCTGAAATTAAGCCGTGTGAATGCAATATTTTGGTTTGTACACAGTTTTTATCATTAAGACAATCTGATATTTTGAACCCATGTGACAGGACACTAAATGTTAGACATAAAAAGACACAGTTACCTGCAATCAAGGTAAAGGTAAATCAATCTAAAGACAGATTAAAATAAACATTTTGCAATAATCATGCATCGCATATCCACTTTATTTTTTTTAGTTACTAAAATATCCCTCTCCTGAGTCTAGTTAGTAACCCGATCATTTGTTGCTTGATTGCTTGGGAAAAAAACATTGCACAAAAGAGTTAATATGGATCATCTGCAGACCAGATTTTCCAAGTCCATTTGTGTCTGTCCAAATTGAGGAAAAACAGAACAGAACAAAACAAAAAGCAGCAGCAACGAGAATCTCATTCCTGCCTTTGATTAAACAAAAAAAAAAAAAAAAACACTAGAAAAAGGTTGTATTAAAATAGCCACTGGCGTTATTATCACTAAATGTGACTCAGCACACACAGAATGGTGCACAGGTTTCAGAAAGGCTGCACAGATTCAATGAAAATAAGTAACCTAAAGACGTATATGAAGGAGGAGAAGCCACGCGAGCCCTGGGGAAGGAACCTGCCACTCGCTGTCCCTGCACAGCTCAGCCAGGAGGTGGTGGCAGAGGGTCACTGTTCCGAGGCTGCCCTGGCTCTCCTGTTATTAAATGCATAGGGAACATCTCCTGGTATCATGGACAGGTTTTAGTGTCTCGGATCGGAATCATGAGGCATTTGCAGACACACACACACATCTATATATTTAATTGCATGGAACATTTAAACTAGAGCTTGAACAATTTTTATGTTAGTGATGGCTGTATCATCCTTATGCTTTTCTGCCATGGCCATAAAGTAACAGAATTTGCCCCAACTAGAGCAGGTCCACTCAGACTGTTCCCCTTATGGAACGGGGAAGGTGAGGGAAAGGCCCAGACAGCAGCACCAACAGAGCCAAAAACAAGACACTTGTGCCCTGGTGCTGCAGCTGAGCGCGCTCAGATTGGAACAAATCACGCAAATAACAGCAAGGGAAGGCAGGTTCTATTTGCACAAAGATCACTTACTGCAGCAGGGGAAGACAGTATTAAAAAAGGCACCAGAACGTGAGGACAAAATACACAATGTCTGCTAAGAGATTTGCAAACAATGCACCTGCCAGTGATGAAGGTGTCTCTGAACAAAAACAAACACACGAGGTTTTTTCCTCCCAGTAAAGGAGGATGCTAAAGGAGTTCACAGCCCAAGGCGTAGTCCCTCACCTGCCATCGCAAGTGGCTCTGCTGTCACAGCCCCACACCCGAGCACCCGAGATCCTGGCACTTCTCTGTCCTGCAGGGCACACATCGCCTCAGGAGGAGGTGTCTGTGTCTTTTCTTTACAGAAAGAGCTGCCTTCCTCACCAAAGCGGAGTGCAGTGACCACAATTTTGGAACCGATTACTCATCTACTGAAATCTGCACTATTCTATCTTCTAATGATCCTTAAAGTCCTTTTAAAGATTCACTTACAAAGACCTAAAAAGAACAAAGAGATATCTGAAAAGATGGCATAAGATGCACTTAAATATTGTCCTCCCATTAGGGCAGAAGCTGCAGCACACTAAGGGCAGAGGCTACTAATGGAGAGGAGTCAGGATTGCTCTGGATGAGGAGCCTTTTGCCATATTGCCAAGGCCCAGGGACACTTGAGCAGTACAGATGAAAAAGGAGCCCATGACAAAAGCATCACATCCTTGCTGGTAAACTAGCAAGTATCTGTTTCTAAAAATCTAGGAAAAGGCGTATCTAATCTCAGAGGCGGACAAAATCACCTACATTAAGAGGGGTGAGACTGTCAACCTCCATGTACAGTCTCAGTTGATGATGATTCTTGCTCTTGAGACCCAACTCTATCTGTCTGCACTGTGAACGGAGTCAACGCCACAGTTTTGCTTGCTTTGCCATCTTCCAGAATAGCACTGCTGGTTTAGGAGAAATAGCAACGCTGAGAAAGGCCTCACGTGCTGAAGTCTCTCTTGATAGTGCAGCACCACAAGCTGAGAACTTGAGTGAAAACTGAAATTCTGGGGCACTTTGCCTGGTCAGGCCGGGCGAGGAGGATGGATGGGAAGGACCTCCAGAGTGTGGTGGGAAGGAGCATTGCTGGTCATCACAGATGACTATAAAAATGACAAAACACGAAAAAATTCCCTGCAAGGTCTTGAGAATCTGACCAGGAGCCCACATCCCGAACACTCCATTTCTGCCAATGGCCAGTCGAGGAAACTTGCAAATCAAAAACTAAAAACCTGCTATCACAATAACGCAGAAATAAAGAAATAAAATACAGAAAAAGATCTTGCTCATTACTGGAGTTAATACAAGCACTTAAAACAAACAAAAACCTAAAGAGCAACTGGCATACTGTCCTTTATACCTTCAGCATTGAATTCTGATTTTCAGAGCACCACGTGCTGCCTACTAGTCAAAAGAAAATTCTGGGGTATAGAATTTGAACCTTCACAGGGACAATTTAGTGTGAGTGACTTTGATCTTTAAAATTAGTACAAAGTACAAAGTGCAGGTACTGAAGAAATTCTGCAGGTCACAAAGCTAGCAGAAAAAGCTTTGAGATCTAATAGAAGATTTAATTAACAAATAAGATTTACTTCTTTATTTTTTTTTAAACAATATAAAACAATTACCTTCTCTAGTTTACTTTTAAGTCTTCTATCCTCCATTCTTTTCTTCAGTATTTCCACATCTTCTTTATTACCATTAAGGATAATCACATCTTCCTCTTGAAAAGGAACACCGCACTTCAAGGAAAGAAATGACAAAACCAATATTTTTTCAAGATCTTTATACTAGTGAACCTCTTTTAAAAATAATCCTACATGATTTTCCATTCCTTCTCTTTTCCATTTTCTTTGTCTTTTCCAACAGTTCTCCTTTAATTCTAGTCTAGTACAGATGCTCACTTAAGTATCAGAGGGAAAATCTCAATGGTTTTTAATCACTGAGCACAATGATATTTTTGCACAAATGTCATCTTTTGTACTTAAAAGTAAAAATAATAGAGAAATTATTTTCTAGAATAATTAAAATCTTTTAAAATTCAAGTCTTTTTATGTGGAGAAGGGTTTTTGTCTTTCTTAGGGAATAAAATGCAAGAGCTTTATAGTAATAATGAGATTTTGCTTTATGGAGATTTCTCTGATTCTAAAACCTACTTCTACTCTAAATTTCAGCAACCTGAATTCCTGTTCCCAGATCATAAATAGTAACCGCTAATTCCTGCAGTCCTGCTACATATGAGCATTACTAGGGAATGCACAAGAACGATTCCCAGCAGATTGCAGAACATCTATCCCGACAAACCAGCTGTCCCTCTCTGAACGGGGCAGTGTTTGGAAAGGTGGGTTGAACAGACGCCCGATTCAATCGGGGACCAAATTGCTGTTCACTTGCCAGTCCCAGATACCACAAGCTGATATATTAACAACGAGTTACAAAACTGAATAATCTTTTACTAAAAACATGTTCTGGGAAAGACACTTCTCCAGGAGCTTGTTCATGGGCAGTTTGGCAGTGTCAGCTTTGATGAGCACCATTTTCTGTGTCAGAGATGGGTGGCAATGGGACAAAGGGGAAATGACAACTAGGGATGAGGGAAGAAGTCTACATTTTTGCTCGCAGATAGTTGAACTTTCACACGAATGTTAAAGTATGTATGTAAAAATACTGTTAAAAATGAAGAATGATTTACAGAATTTCCTCTAAAGTCAATGATAATTTTGTATCTGCAGTACCTGCAGTTGTCCTATATTCACTTCCAGGTTTTCTCTGTATTTCTTTCTGACCAGCTTCCTATTTTTATCCATGAAAGTATTAAACATATCAACTTTCTTGCTCATTTCTAGCACTCCAAATCTTCTTAAATCCTGTACCTTTAACCTGATAATTTTTCACTTACTAATGCCTCCTCAAACCTTTATAAAAATAGTAATGCAGTAAATGTGAGAAGAGAGGCCATTTAGAGCCTTTTTAGGTTCCGGACAGCATGAAGGGCCTGAGGCAGCTCCTCGCTGCGCTTCCTGCTGCCGGCTGGAAAGTTTCGGCAGGCAAAGAGTTAAGAAGCAGGGGGAGGAGGAGGGAGAGGGTTTGTTTCCTTCCCCGTTCCCATCATCTAGCATGCTGCGTGCAGAGGTGAAAGCCTGAGGTAGAGCAGCACCATTTCCAGCAGCAGCAATGCTCCCTCTCCGCAGGTGAAAGGCTGATTTCAGCCCCTGCACGGCTGTCTCAGAAGAGCAGCAGCAAAAACTGGGCGAAGATGAAGTTTCCTCTCAATATTGAGAGGCAGAGGACATTTCTGCTGGGGCTAAACAGCATTACTGCAGAATAAATATGCTAAGCGTTGCGGGAAGCCAGATGAAGCTTTAAATGAAAACATTCACGTTAATATTTAACCCCTTTCATTTATGCAAGATCCCTACACAAGCAACAGAATGAAGAACGCTGTCTGAATTTTGCTGAAGGACAATGGGGCCTTTTATTTATTAAATTATGCTGCCTTCTCTTGCCTAATATTGTACAAGGTAAGATTGAGAAATTTGATTTTAGAGTGTCAAGTTTAAGGGGTTTGCTTTTATTATTATTAAAGCCCATTTTCAACTGTTATAGAGCAACAAATATTTTCACTTCAAATATATTCATTTTTCCCTTTTGAAAATATTTGAATCTCTGAGGGTAACAATCATACTTTTTTTTTTTTTTTTTGCTTTGCAGATCTACAGTACTTACCGTTATTAGTATCAGAAAAATCACCGTACTTACAAATACCCATTATGCTCTTTTGCAAGGAACTTAACTTTTACAATGCCATAAACTTATATAACTCAATTGTTTAAAGAGCTGTTATAGTATTTGTTTTAAACTGTTGAGGTCAATATACCACACAGTAAAAAAATGCAAACAGGAAAAAAAAAAAAAAAAAAGCAAATGAAAAGTTCTTAAAACTGTTTCACATTTATAGGTAAATCAGGGCATGATTGAGTATTTTAAAGTAAGCACGATTTCAAATTTCTAAAGCAGTATTAGTTGGGTTTGATAAAGACATTTTTTTCTTGTACTTAATGTCTGTCATAGCACAGAAGGAGACTCAGACTTACCTAGGCAGAAGGTAAAAGCATATCAAAGTAAAAAGCAGCGAAAAGGGCTGTTTTTAACACTAGTCTTTTGCTGTTTTTAGAGGACCAAATTAACATTCATTTCCTTACAAAATGTCTACTCTAAGAGTTGCATGGATATTTTCCATCCTTCAAATAAAAAGCAGACTTATATAAGGATGTGAGAATATAAGAGCTAGTATGTTTTAACCAATTAATTATTAGAAGAAGTATTCTTAAGGCCTTCGTTTCATTGAATTATGAAGTCATTTGACCTGAGGTTTATCTAAACATTAATAATAAGCAAATACAAAAGGTCTAGACAAAACAGAAGATTCAGAGATGCAGCACAAAACTCTACGGTGGGAAGAAACAGTGAACTGTAATATGATTTGCTATAAATTACAAAATGATCTTGATGAACTGGGATGATGTTTTACAGGCATGTTTGCAGACACGAACATAATTCCACTTTTCTTCTGAGTTCACCTTTTTAATTGAGTGGAGCAGCCAAAAATTTTCCATTAAGTAATAGCCACAAAAGCTGCTACAAAGATGCCTGAAAATCCCTACAAATGGGCTACTTTTTTGAAGAATATTTAACATAAATTTGGGCACTTCTGTAAATTAAATCATCTTTCATTCAATCATCTTAGAGCAGCTACCCATACCACAGAAAAGCTTCAAAGAGATATTTTGTTATCAATAAACATCTATAGTGGCACTCTAGTAAAATAATAACTAGGAAAAGTAATATAGCCATGGAATAAGTTATGCCTGGACAGAAGATCATCTTAATAGTAAGATCCTGAAGATGCTCTTAAAGGGCAGCAGAAAATATAGCAGCAAACAGGGTAGGAGCTAGAAGCAACACAAACTGCACGTCCAGTGGGAATGACAGCTGCAATTCTGCCTCTCAATCTGAAAAAAACACCATCAGAGCCAACATTTTCTGTTAGATACCTCAGACTGAAAGACATGTAATTCTGTTCTTGAAGGCTGGTCTGAAGGAAGCTTCTTTGGAAGCCCCCAAAATATGTTACCAAGGTGAGAGGATTGGTTTGTTATCCTTCAGGGGAGTGCTCGTGCACATCCACACTGCTGTACAGAATCGAGATGCTATGGAGCTCAAGAGGAAAAATCCACAGCAAATGCTTAACCTGAAACATCCCTGGAAGCTATTATTTCATGGATAATAAAAATGCAATCGTAGGACACAAACAGGTTACAGCTGGGTTCCCTAGGGAACTATCCTTTGCAAGCTATCCACAACCATGTATTTAATGAAAAAAACCAAGGCAACTCTCATCTTGCTCAGGTGCAGGATTTTCTAAGCAGGCTAAAGCCTCAAATATTTGTTTTTTGTTTTATAACAGCCCACAGTCTTCAGTGTAATTCACATGTCAAGAATGAACTTTCCATGTGACACGGAACATAAAGATCTCATCACGGTCACTAATTCAGAGCGACCTCAATGCCTCCCCTATAATTATTCACTCACAACACAACAGTGCTGCAGCACTGCAGTCTTCTATTTTGCCTGTGAAAATCCTTGCTTCTACCTTTGGAAGGCATTTTTTCCCCTACATTCTTTTTGAAAGGTTGATGTGGACACGGACACTCAAGTTTTGCCTTTAAATGGATGAAACACTCACAATCAAGGTTGTTTACAAAGTGAATGTATCCCTTAGGAGCTGCTAAGAAAAAAAAATCTTCAGGGACCTGATTTCATGCTGTTTTCCCTAGGCCTGTGCAGCCAATGCAGAGGGAACTGCACTGCCAACAGGACGGAGAAGCACCATGGAAGAATCCTCCACCTAATGCACAAATCTTCCTTCTGGAATGCTAAGTGGAAAAAAGGCATTTTTCCAGCACCAAATCCAGTGCATACCAGTAAGGACAGTAAGATAAATACGTTCTTTTCCAACAGCCTAGTAAGTTCTTGAAATTTTAGTATTATAGAGCATCTGATAGGCTGGTTCAACTTTTCTACTTCTGAAGCTTTTTAAATTCAGTATCTCATTTCTACTTTAACTGCAATGCTTTCATTATTTCTAAGTTTTAAAAGACACATATATTGCATTTTCAAAGAAAGAAAAAAAAAATCTTTACTTCTTTCTAGCTTACAAATTACTATAGTATTCATATAAAACATAATATTTATAAAAAAATCCTTCTTTTCTGCTCCTAGGTAATAACAAGCACATTGTGATGTTCAGAGCTGCAAAGCATAAAATATTTACAGGTGAAATGTACTTTTTTCTACAAATAATTAAGTACAAGAGAACATGAATACTCTCTAAAACTGCAATTAAAGCTTTCTTAGTATAACTAGTAAGCATTCCATTAAATGATGGAATATTTTTGCCCCCTTTCCAGGAATTTTGTCTAGGAAGTTCCACATCAAAAGCTTCAAGGAAAAGACCCCATGCAGTAGCCACAGGATTCAGGACTTCTGTGCTGTCATGCTTCTGACTTTCCAGCAAGGAAGGTATTTGTAAGAAAAAGATAATCACAAAAATAGAAGTCTTCTATGCTGATACTGATATAAATTATACACTTTTCTATGAAAGTTAAAATACGCCACTGCCAGGATTATCTCGGGTATTCAAGTCTGCTAAAAATAAGGAATTAGTGCTGTCTACATGGTTTATTTTCAAAATCACTGGTATAAAGATGTTGGAGGCAAAAAGAGATCTCAAGTGGGTTACAAAGCCCTGCTGACTTTATAAGGCGAACAAAGGATGTATTTTGTGAACTACAACCTAAGACTTTTCACTTTGTTTATTTAATACTTTTTCTGCTGCTGGTCATGGTGAACTGAAACATAATGTTGTCAAGCAGAACTGGTAAGTCCCCTTAATTTGCAACAAAGCAGCACCCTTTTCCGAATATCTTGTACTAACAACAGAAAAATAAGAAACTATGCAAATATTTACTGTTCTTGAACCAACACTAGAGAGTAAAGGGAAAAAAAATGCATGTAATCTTCTGAATCCATGGATGCTATAGCTGCAGCTGACAGCAATAAGGTTAAGGCTAGTAAAAATAACTCTTATTTGGGAGTTACCTGCTTCTATGGAAGCTCTTTGTGCTCGCAGGCACCATGGGAGCACGCTGGCTCTGAATACGGATAAAGCACGACACATATACTGAGTATATGGCAGCCACAGCAACCAAAACGCTTTTTTTTAAATTAAAAAAAGTATAGACAGATATGCAATATATCTGAACATATAGAAATATACATATATACATATCTCACATATCCAGAAACTGGATATAGTCCACAGTCCAGCTCCAAGGACTGTGAAATGTATGGGTCCAGCTGCATTCTTCAGATACGTATCCCAAAAAGGGAGAGGTTGTTGACTAAAATTTATTTTTCTGGCAGAATCTGAAGGCCTCAAACACGTCTGAGAACGGCCTGTCCTTTAGCCGTGCACTCCCCACACATCTCCCCTGTTCTGAGGCTGCTACCAGGACCCACCTACTGACTCCAGGCAGAAGGAGCCTCTGTGCCACGGGCCGGGCTCCGCTGGCCCAGGGCTGTGCCCGGCTCTTTGGCTAGTTAGTTCATCCACCAAAGTTACTTCATGGCCCTGCCGGTACCTTTTCCAACGGCTGAGCGTGCTCCAGCATGGGGTGGGACACAGGCACACACGGAAACAGGGAAGAGGGTGACTGCAACGTGGTAAAAGAATCGCTGTCACATCAGCTCTTTTCCTTTAAACGTCTGGAAGTTTCTCTCCTGCTCTTTATCTCACTTTTCCTTTCAGATATTCCGAATGCTTAATTAAGCTATGACCAAAAGACAGGATCCGGAAAATAAAAAATGAACCCACTTGATGCAACAAAATCAGGATTTTTAGTGTGCATTGCGATCTGCATGTTCATTTACACTTTTATCTACCTGAAGAACACACTTTCGGTTTTTTTTTATGAAGAGCAAAAATTTCCTGGAGACACAGCAGAGTGCGGTTTTTACCCGGATGAACTCTGTTCGGCTCTTTTTGTGGGGAAAAGCGTTGCCTCTCAAATAGGAAACTTTTGTCAGAACACCTACCAAGCAGAGCCACTCAGCTGCATTCAGACTGCCTGCAATTGCTCCACGGTCCTGAAAAGCCTGCATTTTATAACAAGACCGCTGTCTGAAGAAGAAGGAAATTTCTCCTTGGCGTATATTATCACGATTCACAAGGAGCTGCAAATGTTCATAAAGCTACTAAGAGCTATTTATATGCCTCAGAATATTTACTGCATACACGTTGATGAGAAGTCACCGAAAAATTATAAAGCTACTGTACAAAATATTGTTAACTGCTTTGAAAATATTTTTATTTCCTCAAAAAGAGAAAATGTTGTTTATGCAGGATTTTCAAGACTGCAAGCTGATATTAATTGCATGAGGGATCTAGTGCATTCCAAAGTTCAGTGGAGTTACGTTATCAATCTATGTGGGCAGGATTATCCCATCAAAACAAACAGGGACATTATACAATACATCAAAAGCAAATGGAATGGTAAAAATATGACTCCTGGGGTAGTGCAACCACTTCATATGAAACACAGGACGCAGGTTAGTTACAGAGAATATGCACATTCTGGAACGTCCTATGTGTATCCAACAAAGAATATAAAGGCTAAAGCTCCATATAATTTGACAATATATTTTGGTAGTGCCTATTACATTCTCACGAAGGAGTTTGTAGAGTTCACGCTGACTGATGCACGTGCAAAGGAATTGCTGGAATGGTCAAGAGACACGTACAGCCCGGACGAGCACTACTGGGTCACCCTGAACCGTTTGCATGGTGAGCTGCAGCTGGTTTATGCTATGAACAATCCCCCAAACAACAGTATTGTCAGGTCTGTGCTACAGAGATCTACTGATTCTGATTTAGGGCCTTACGACACCCTTAAGGGGATTAACTGCCTAGATATGGTCATTTCCTCAGCCTTGCTGCTGACCCTTCAACAGTCACCTCTCCTGATGGTTTGATAAATAACACTTGATCCCAGAGAAAGAGTATTATGGTGCAGGTGATTAGTTAAAAGGCTAAAAAGAAATGTTGATTAAACTGAGTAAGTGCTTATCTGCATAAAGGCTCATGCTCTCAGAAACAATAACAAAAAGCAACAAAACTGAGAGCCATGCCTACTCTTATGATGTAAAAATCCGAGAAATACTTAACATGGCTACACTTAATAAATAGAAAGAAATCTTATCAGACCATTATGTTTTTACAGATGCTCCAGGTGCTACCCCAAATGCAGACTGGGAAGGAAACATCCGAGCCATTAAATGGAAAGACCAAGAAGGAACCACACACAAAGGCTGCAAAGGTAAGGTGACCTGGGATCATGAACTGCAATTTGCTTTACTGACCAGCAGTCCTTGCAAATTACGTGTTATACTTAAACCACCCACTAAGTATGTCCCAGAAGTCATGCGCGTTTTTTTCTGGAACGTATGAAATAAAACAGCAGCGATTCTACTAAATTACACTGCTGTACCCAATCCAAAAATCTCCTGATGTATTCTTGCACAGATCAGCACAGTACCCACACGCTGACAGCTGTGCTTTCAGCCTCCAATTAGCAGGCTTCTGTAATTGAACAGGTTAAGGACAGAGCTGCATACATGTTGTACTCCGAGGCCCTTACCCTTTGTGAGCTTCTGTACGTTGGCTTCACTCCCTCTGTTACATTAACTAATGCGTTAACTTGACTGCTCAGATCTCAATGAAAAACAGGGAGGCTACTTGACAAAGCACTTCTGCCAGACACTTAGGTCTAGTTTAAAATGGTTCAACCCATTTTTCCCCTGCTTTCATACACCCCCCATTTGTCTTTGCAGGTCATTACATCAGAGACATTTGCGTCTATGGACTAGGGGATTTACAGTGGATCATCGAATCGCCCCATTTATTTGCCAACAAATTTGAACCTGCAACATATCCACTTGTTATGGACTGCCTGGAGAGACGCTACAGGCTCAAAGTACTGCAGCAAGCAGAAGTCCCCATCGAAGATCACTGGCGTTTTCAGGAAAATAACTACTTTAACATGAAGCTGAATGTTTGAGCTGAAGACACATTTAAGCAGTGCTCAAAATATTGAAAGAAACCATCAAGATAAGATTTTTAGCTATAGTCTTCACTCTGTGCATTTTATCATAAGAATACGCATAATGCTATACTACTGTTCACCAGAGAAACAAGCAGCAGTTAATTTTCCTATAGTAAAATAAAAAGAAATAACTGCTAATGGGTTAATTCTAATATTAATAAAAAAATGACACAGTCTGTAAGTCAACAGTCGAGCAGTTCTATAACCTACTGAAGACAAGGGGGTGGTTCTTACTGCTCCTCAAGTGAGTTACTTAACTAGAAAAAAAAAAATGTTCCGTATGTTTGCAGCTGCAGAAAGGACTAACCAGTATGAGAACAATAAAGCTGCATAAAAATGAAATATTAAGAGCAAAAGTTAGAGTGGTTTCTACTGTACGCCTTATGAAGTGGCTGATTTTGAATAATAAGATTTACACTGACGCTTCAGAGCTGGCAGAGAAGCAAGTGGCAGGCGGGGTGTGACAGTCCCTGTCCCTGTTCCGGTGGCGGCTCTGCTCCTCGGGAACAGATCCTGCTGCTGAGCCTCCTTGTCCGTGCCTCTGCCGGCGCTGCTTACAGGAAAACACGGGAAATGTGGATCTGGGGAACAAGTGGAACATGTGAAAAGCCACCTTTGAACAGCCCGCGAATGTGGCCTGAGGGAAACAAAACTCTCCTGAACCTCTCAAGCGTTTGCACGCGCTGGAGATAACGGCCAGCAGCAGCCAGGACAAGGACCCTCTGCAGCCAAATGCAGCATTTGTCTGCAGCAAGAAAGTGGCTTTCCACACAGTACGTAAGCAAAAACAGGGGAAAAAACAATAAAAAAAGAACTCAGATCCAGCCCGCTTCCAAGCAAGAGTCTTTCCCCTTCAGCATTCATAAATTAATCTCTTAATGGTACTGCTGAAGAGGCCGCAGCAAACAAGCAGGACACAGGCAGTGCTGTTTCACTCCTCCTCTGTTACTGGATTAGGAGTCTCCCAAGATCAGTTCTACTCCTTTCCTCAAAGGTCCTTAGTTCCTTCCATGGAGAAGGACTAGGAGAAACCTGAACTTTCAGGAGTCATTTCAAGTTGTTCATTTTCCCTTACTAATTTTTTGCCACAGACGAAAAAAAATATTCCAGTAAATCCACACGAACTGCCATTTTTTAGACGAGCTTTGACAGGACCTAATAAAATGCATGTTGTTACATGATGAGAAACTACAAATTAGAAAGAAATGTCTACGAGCAGTTTAGATGTAAGCTTCAATATGCACAATATATTCATTTTCTACTGGAAAAATGACTTACGCATCACTTCAAAAAACAAAACTAATCAAAGAATGAGTCAGCAGTAGAACACAAAAAGCCTAGCTTCTTATTCTAAACGTATTCCCAGATTCCTGCGTATTTTCCCACGCAAGTTTTCTCGGAAGCACAGTTTCTTTTAGATGAACTTCCACCTAAGGAAAGACCATCTGGTCCCTATTTATTTACAGAAATACGCGAAGTCCATCCAAAGGCCTGCGCGCTGGCTCATGTACAGCCATGGCTTACTTGGGGGCCAATTACTCCCGATTATACTTTTTTCACAGAGAAAAAAATCGCGCAGCATGTCCACACAGTGGTTGTTGAGAATCCCTCTGAGACCCTGCGCTGATTTCCAGCAGGTATTAATCATGCAATATTAGCAATCATCTCTCACTCAACCACATTCGATGCACCATAAGGCACCGCTGGCTTCCACTCCGTTGTTTTTACGCTCATCTCGTTATCTTTGCAGCAAGATCTGGGCTGCACTTTTGTTGCTCTGCAGAGCGATCGTCGCGTGTCCTCCTTCTGAAGGACACGGCAGGGTCAGGCTGCTCAAAGAAAGAAAATCCCTTCTTGAAATACAGTTTAGGCATGACCCTATACCCGTTGATCCAGAAAATTCATCGGAGTGTGACCCTACCTCCTTAGATATATATATATATATTTATATATATATTATCAGAAAATTCTACCTATAAAAAAACTAAACAAACAAGCAAAAACTATTTAAACTCCTCAAACGCTATCTGTTTTTAGGGATTGATTCTAACAGGAGTTGATAAAAGTTGTAATTCAACTGAGAGAGCTGACCAGAGCATTTAATACACTTTTTTTTAAACAAGTAGATCATTCCAAATGCTGAGATCTTAGTAATGTGCTTACTAACTTTTGATAAATGTTGATCTAAGAGCATATAGTGTCAATGTGACCTTGTGCGAGGCAACAGCATGTCCTACAACGTCCTGCAAACACACAATCTCTTCATCTCAGAGGTGTATGCAGAGTTTCTGTTTCACAAAACCCGAGGCACGTGTACAGCGGCTCGATATCTAAGCTAAAAAACTGGGCTATGTGCATTAGTATTAGTCTGTTGAATCTGAAAACATTGCTAAAATTTTAAATAAATTCTAAAGGCATGCAAGAGATCACATTTGTAAAAGCAGGTTAAAAAAAGGCTGGTTTCTATGATGATCATAAGCAAGGTATTAATTATATGACGTACAAGGAATATTATACTTGGATTAGAGAAAGAGAATTACTGGCCTGGAAATGAAATTTGCAAATCACTACTGCTAAAGCATTAAATCAGTGAGCACACCGTGAAAAAATCAGCTTAGATACATTTTTAAACACAATTCTTTTAATCTACTTTTTCCAAAAACTCAGCTATTGTCTAATAGCAGACTGCAACCTAAAATGTAGCAAACACTCAGAGCCCATGCAAGAATTAGGAAGCCAGTTAGAAGACAGAAGTGTCAGAACATTTAATCACTTTGGCCTCATCTGTAAATCAGTACGAACAGAGCTGCCAATCTTGGTCACAATACCATAAACACACTAAGGAGATCAGATTAGATTTCTTGCTGTCCTTTTCAATGTTAACAGTCCACTGGAAAATTAAAAACAATAGTAGGTTAAAACTTTCCATTTAAAAATGCAAGTTTTAAAA